CCCATTCCTCCTACCTAACACTGGTAGTTTTTCCAAATATATTACCTAAACAAAAGATATTTAAAATGCTCACATAAAGGGCAAAATTGGCTAGAAAAAAAGGAAGTGTTGGATTTCAGAAGGAACACAGGTTCCAAATCACAGGATGTGCTTTCTGCATGTAATTTCATGCAAGGCATCTTATGCTGGAGTAGTAATTCATGTTCTTTTTTTCTCCTTGATTTTGCTGTGGAAGTTTGACCTTGATGGACTTTTTTTGCTATGTGATTTTGAGGAAATAATTTAATTGAGCCACAGTTTTGTCATTTGAATAATGGGGATAAGACTAATCTTTCTCACAGCAGCAACTGTGGAGCAGTCATGTGCCTGTCATAAGTCTTCCTGTTTCTAATCCATGTAGATATTCTTTATGAACAATATCATTATCTAAAGAATAACACAGGGGAGGGGAGAAGAGGGAAAACAATGGAGGGGTAAGTCTAAGGTATATTGAAAGCACATGTAAATATCACAGATTGTATCTCCCTGTAGAACTAATGTATGTTAAAAAATAATTTTTTAAAGAAAGAATAACAGACAGTATAGTGGAAGTATGTTTGGAATTTTTTTTTTTCTGAAAATGAACTCTCTCCCTCTACTAGGGATTGCATGTTTGCTTGTTTTTTTTTTTTTTCTGCAACTTTTTTTTCTTTTATTATTCATATGTGCATACAAGGCTTGGGTCATTTCTCCCCCCCTGCCCCCACCTCCTCCCTTACCACCCACTCCGCCCCCTCCCTCTCTCCCCCCCCTCAATACCCGGCAGAAACTATTTTGCCCTTATCTCTAATTTTGTTGAAGAGAGAGTATAAGCAATAATAGGAAGGAACAAGGGTTTTTGCTGGTTGAGATAAGGATAGCTATACAGAGCATTGACTCACATTGATTTCCTGTACGTGTGTGTTACCTTCTAGGTTAATTCTTTTTGATCTAACCTTTTCTCTAGTTCCTGGTCCCCTTTTCCTATTGGCCTCAGTTTCTTTTAAGGTATCTGCTTTAGTTTCTCTGCATTAAGGGCAACAAATGCTAGCTAGTTTTTTAGGTGTCTTACCTATCCTCACCCCTCCCTTGTGTGCTCTCGCTTTTATCATGTGCTCAAAGTCCAATCCCCTTGTTGTGTTTGCCCTTGATCTAATGTCCGTTGAGACAGGGTCTCATTATGTAGGCTAAACTGGCAGAGAACTCTCTGTCCTCTTGCCTCTGCATCCTGGGTGTTGGGATTACAAACTCATACCTCTTAGCTTTTTTTTGAAAGTTGACATCATTTTTATGTACAGATATTAATCTTTTCATATTGCTTCACAAGAGCAGGCAGTTTTATTTTCTGTTTTATAGCCAAAGCTAAGAAAATGCCAACTGCATGCTAAGTTCTTAGGTACCTGTGTGTGTGCGCGTGCATATGCATTCGAGACTAGATCTTGCTGCATAGCTCAGGCTAGGCTGGCTTGGGTCCCATGCTATATTTAATGGGCTGAATGTAGCAAACCGATCTGGGTTCAAGCCCTTGGATTTTTTATTTGCTACATTTCTTCCTTTAGTCAGGTTGGGTAACTTCTGAATCTTTTTCTCCTCTTCAAATGGAAGCAAAAATTCTAATGTCTTATATGTCACAATAAATGAGGTAATGTATATGAGGCATAGTGATTAGTATATAATGAATCACTCAATAGATGTTAGCAATGATTATTAATTTTGTGTGCCCTATACTTGGATATTTGGAATTGAATTCACATTTTTGGCCATAAAAACCATGTACCTGACATGTATTTACAGATTACCAACATGAGTAGACCCATGAGGGAAATGATGTCTGGTCTTACTATATAGCTTGATTTTTCTCTATGATATTCTTTGGTAGGTCTTTGATGGTAGCTGGCAGTTATAAAGATACAGTGAAGATTCAGAATGGAGCTTCCTACTAAAGCTGCAAACCTTACAGTTATAAACAATGGATGAAAACATGGGATATCATGCCAGGGTCAGGAGTTGCTTCTTAAACTGATACTGTCATTAACATCCTTAGGAGCTCTTACAAATGAGCTAAATGACAGATGCCTGGCATTTGTGCATATGAAATCTGTTGGGTGTCTTGTGGGTATATGTGTGTGTGTGTCTTCATTATCTTGCCTAATCTGTAAGCTAATTCTACAAAATGGGCTTACAGTGATTGACTAGAAGACCATGACTCGGAAACTATGTTTATCTTGTTCAGTGATGCATTCCCTGTTTTGCACAGTGCCTAGCACAGAGTAGGCAACCTGTGAATGAGTAACAAACTTACCAGTGATCAAAGATGACATGTAGATACAAAATAGTGAAAGATTATAGGCAAACATTTAAAAAATTACATAGGCAAGGATGTAGTGGCCTTGCTGACAGAATATGTTGCCTGGGAAGTTTAAAGTGGTAATGAAGCAATTTCATAGTATATTCTAGTGGTTTTAAAATATTTGAGTAGTTTTAAATTTTTTTCATATTTGTTTATTTTGGTCCTGGGGTTTGAACTCGGGGCCTTGTGCTTGCTAGCAGGTATTCTATAACTTGAGCCACACCCCCAACCCAAAATATTTGAATGCTTTGAGTTGGACAGAGTCGTGTATGCCTGTAAGCCCAGCATTTAGAAGACTGAGGCAGGAGGATCTCAAGTTCAAGACTAGCCTGGGCTGCATAAAGAGAACCTGTCTTTAAAAAAAAAAAAAAAATCAAAGAATATGTTTTGGCCTGGCAGTTTTGCTTCTGAGACTCTACCTTATGAAAATAATCTATATTTGAGCAGGGCATGGTAGTATACACCTGTAGTCCCATCTACTCAGTGGGCACATACTGAGAGGATTATGGTTTGAGGTCAGCCAAAAGTTAAGAGAGCCCATCTTGACCAACAAGCCAGGCTTGATGGTATATGCTCAGGGTATCCCGGCTACTCAGCAGGCACAGTAGGAGGATTGTGGTCCAAGGCCAGTCCAGGGCTAAATTGTGAGAAATTATCTGAAAAATAACTAAAGCAAAAAAAAGGACTGGAGGTGTGAATTAAGTGTTAGAGTACTTGCTTAGTGAGCAGAAGGCCCTGAGTTCATACCCCAGTGCTGGGGGAAATCATAAACACAAGAAAAGTATGATGTGACATAAAAGCCTGGTAGGTAGGTAGTGAAAAAATTATAGTGAATTCATTAGTTGGAATGTTTTTAGCTATTAATATTGATTATAAAGCATGTATAATATGTAAAATAGGTAAGGAAAAGTAATGGTAGATTTAATAATGCTACACTGTGAAGGCCTCAGATCTCAACTGTTGAATGTGTTTTCCTCTGTCATCATGCATGTGATGGCCTAGCCTATAGGAATTGCCAGGGGAATATTACTCACTGCTTACTTAGGAATCTGGCTCTGTTACTCACAGGCTGTGTCAGCTACTTAGCACTTTAATGTATTGGCTTTCTGTTTTCCTTCATATAATAAAATTCTTAGCACTGGAGTATAACAGGAAATAGGTTTTAGTCACTGTTAGGTAGGTAGAACTGTAGTGTGTGTTTATGTTGGGCCAAACCATGGGGGCTCTATTTGTGCAGTATCTGCATTATTTTTAAATGGTAATTGTGGGGAGGGTATGTTGGAGAGCTGGAGGCTTACCACTGTCACAGAGGTGATGTAGGAAAATCCTGGGATGTCAAGCATGTAATTTCCTAAGAGTTGTCACAGGAATGTAGAATAATCCTTTGCCAGGAACGGATCATTTTATGTAGCAATTCTTTTAGAACCAATTCCCAGGGATTGCTTTGAAGAAGTTTGCTTTTTAATAGAAGTGAGAAATATAAAGACATACCTTACAATGTATGTTAGTGCAGATGTACCTATGGAAAACAGAGCACAGCTAATGAATTCCATGTTACTGAGTCTGTGAAAGAAAAGTGTATGTAAGGGTAGGGCAGGAGGAAAGGGTACTTATAGTCAGGAGCATTCTAAGCAGTGGAGATCTGCCCTCATGAAGGCTCAGAGATTTAATAATTTGTTTTGCTTGAAGGAGTTTAAGCAGTATGGTAATTGGGATTGAAAAGGCAAAGGTGGGAAGCTGGGAAGAAGAAGAGATCATATTATCTTTGTTGGATGTTGCAGTGGCTGCATGCAAGAAATATCCTTGGAGTATCCATGTTTGTATCATCACTCACTAATCTGTGACATTAATTAACTCCTTAATTCTTAGTTTTCTTATCATAAAATGATGACATTTTGATCTACTTTAAAGGATTCATGTGAGGATCAAATTAAAGCATTTCATTTAAGAAAGCAAATAGAAATCTTGGTGTGTTAGCCCAACCCTGTAATCAGTCCCAGCTGAGGCAAGAGGATTGAGTTGAGGCCACCTTGGGCTGCATGGCAATATCCAGGTTAGCATGGGCTGAATAGTGAGACCCTGTCTCAAAAATCCAAACAGAACAAACAAGGAAGCATGTAGAATAGTTTCCTAGGATATAGTCAATACTTATGGAATGATTGCTGCTGCCATAAAATAATAATCATTGTGAAATTTAAGCAGCTGGAAAACTTTGATTTGCCTAACATTATAGAAGCTGTTTTTCTTCTCTTTTTGTACCTAAATAGTCCAGGCTGGCCTAGAACTGGCAGTGAATGCTGTGTAGCTCAGGCTATCTTGGAACTCTTGATCCCCTGCCTCAGCCTCCTCATGATTGCCTGGATTACAGGCATGTTCCACTACGTACATCCAAACATTATCTTTTAATGACTGAGAAATGACTATAGAGAAGTTCACGGGTGACTTTTGTCTTTTAGCAGAATAGATTATAGTCATGGCTGTGGTTTCAGTGAATGTATAGGTAGGAAAAAGGGACCAAGGAGAGACTGCGCTTACTTATATCTATAATTTTGAAGGGAAAAGGAGAAAATGATATGTTGTTGTAAACTGAATTATTTTCCTGTGTAATAATTGAGAAATTTTTCTTTTTCAGTTCTCTCAGTTTAACCAATGATGCCAGTTGCCAATATCAAGCAAAACAAACATAAGCCAGTTTTAATCTGTTAAGAAAAGTTGGTAGTGCTTCTCACAGTGCCTGACGGTAAGTCACAGTTCCTACCTTCATAACTCAGTTTTTGATCTAGTGTATTTTACAACAATTTTGGAAAACTTCCTTTTAAAGCCTCATTTGCTGTTTCCTTCTGATAATTTTACTGTAAGGCTTATGGAAAGAGCATGAAGAAAGATCCTTACTAATATCTGAGAACTGTATTTTGGCACTTCCATCAATCTGTAGGATTTTTCCTCCTGTTTGTTAAAAATAAAATACTAGATTTTGAAACCCATTCTTTTTATATGTGCCTTATGTTTTGTAGATGAGGAAGCTTAATCTTTAAAAATGAAGTTTTAGCTTAAACAAGATTTTTTAAATATTTTCATTTCTGGACCTGTGCACTTTCAACTGTTGCAGGATTTCTGTTAGGGCTGTATTGTTGCTTTTTGGGGGGCGTGGTGCAGAGATTTTTTTTTTAAGTTTTATTAGAACATAACCATACCTGTTTGTTTTGCTTTATTTATTTATTTATTTGTTTTAATTTATTTTGTGGTAGGACTGGGGTTTGAACTTAGGACTTACGTGTTTACAAATCAGGCACTCTACTACTTGAGCCACATCTCCAGCCTGGTGCAGAGATTCTTGTGGAGCATTTCTAGCTCAGTATGGAGGAAGGGCACAGATTAAGAGGCAACAGAGTGGAAGGAGTTAGGACTTATTTTCCCTAACTTTCAAGTAATGGCTACTTGTATTGCTGTTATTTTTAATTGAAAGACTAATCTTTTTTGTTTAGGAAAAAAATGTATGTATGAATTGGCAGTACTGGTGTTCAAACTCAAGTTTGCTAGGCAGATGCACTACCTCTTGAGCCCCTGCCTATAAGATACTTTATTCATAATGTAAACAGTAGTCTAAAATATATTTATTAACTTTTTTCTGCTTAACTATTGGCCTGTTTCTTTCAGAAAACAAATTGATTTTTCAAGGTAGAACTGTTAGGCTTTTCTTTTCACTAATCTCATTACTTTTTTATTTTTAAGCATAGAGTTTGGAGAATTGTCCAGTTAGTTACCTTAGACAGGGGAACTTGGTTTTTTGTTGTTTTTGTTACTTACTAAGACTGTGCTATGTCTTAATGATGACGGTATTTGAACCTGTTTATAAAATTGATTACTTCTTTTTTTCATTTAAGAACTGTACCAGACGGTGAGGTTTAAGCTCACAGATTCCAGAGATATCATCATGAAGTTATATGTATTTCTGGTCAACACTGGAACTACTCTAACATTCGACACTGAACTTACAGTGCAAACGTGAGTTGTATTTCATTTATTCTCTTCAGTTTTTCATTTTGTGTGTACGCAAAAAGTTAAGTACTAGAATTGAGAAAACTATTTAAGAAAGAGTAGCAATATGGCAAGTTTTAAATCTCTTATTATAAGACATCTTATTTATAATTGTTATTCTCTGAATTGGTAAAGTTGGGTCTGTTTGCGTAAATATTCGCAATAAGCAAACCTACCTATGAACTAACCAATTTCAATCTGAAGCTATTGTTACAAGGACTTGTAGCCAATTGCTATTCTGTTGCTAGCTTTGTAAAGCAATATGAATTACTTCCATGGCTTTTCTGGTCTTTTTTCCGTTAATGAGAGAACAAGTTTACTAACCAAAATAGTGGTGTTGTGCCTAAGTCATTTTCCAACTTTGTAGGAATTTCATATATTTGACTAATGGATGCCTTCCTATATATAGTTTTTTGCCTTCCTAGACTTGTAAAAAGTGGGGAGAGCTCTCAGAGCAGGAAGAACATATTTTGGGCCAAACAGGAAGGTAACAGAAACCTGCTTATTTTTTATAATAGTCATAGTATCAGTGACTTCATAGCAATACAGAATAATCACAAAGAAATTGTTATAAATAATTTGATGAGTAATCTTTGTTTTTAAAATGATACTAAGGGATTATTTTATTTTTTAAAACATTGGTTTTCGTTAAATGCATTTTTACTTCTAAAGGAGTAATTTTTTTGGAAAAGTAGGAAAGGAACATTCTCATGGTTTAGATTTAATGTAGTTTCTGTAATGTATTCTGAGGATTTTAGGGCAAATCCTGGATTTGAAGGAATTTAACAGACCTGATAGCAGATTAAGCATATTTCAGAGACTCACTTTTAGTGAAAAAAAGTGAGTGATTTATTCACCTAAAATCAGCCAGTTGATTAGAATCCAGTTTAAGGAATGGGAAACATTTTATTTATTTATCTGTTATTGTTATTACTAGTATTTTGGGGGGAAAATTTAGAGTGAGATTAATTAGCCTTAGTAGGTTTTATTTTGTTTGCATTGTTTTAACAAAGTGGTATTTTGATAATAAAGTCTCTAGGTAAAAGCAAGTAACTGAGCCAGGTCGCACCTACAATCCTAGGTACTCAGGAGCAGAAATGGCTCTAAGCCAGCCTGGGGAAATAGTTTGAGAGACTGTATTTCAAAAAACCCCTTTCAAAAGGCCAGGTGGCTTAAGCAGTAGAGCACCTGCCTAGCAAGCGTGAGGCCCTAAGTTTAAACTCCAGTGCCACCAAAAAAAAAAAAAAAAAAAAGTAAATAACTGACTTGTTCTTTTTTTTTTTTTTTTGATGGCAGTGTGGCTGACCTTAAGCATGCCATTCAAAGCAAATACAAGATTGCTATTCAGCACCAGGTGCTGGTGGTCAATGGAGGAGAATGCATGGCTGCAGATCGAAGAGTATGCACCTACAGTGCTGGGACGGTAGGTATGCAGGGCTTACTTCACCTTCACATAAGGGGGGCTAGGGCTTAGTGTTGGAAAGTAAGGCTCATCTGACTTACATCTGTATGTTCAGTATTTGTAACACTTTTACTTCAGTTGCTTCTGCATTTTCTTTATAGGACACAAATCCAATTTTTCTTTTTAACAAAGAAATGATCTTATGTGATCGTGCACCTGCAATTCCCAAAGCTACCTTTTCAACAGAAAATGACATGGAAATAAAAGTTGAAGAGTCTCTTATGATGCCTGCAGTTTTTCACACTGTTGCTTCAAGGACACAACTTGCAGTGGTAAGATACAAATAATTATTTTAACTAATTAACTGTTCTTAAAAACATTCAAGTCTAGAGTCTAAATTACATAGGATATGTGCAAAACACATGAGAAATACCAATTTTTTGTGGGGAGACAGGCTCTTGCTGTGTAGCCCAGGCTGGCTTCAAATTCATGATCTTTTGCTTTGCCTCCTAAGTGGGATTACATGTGTGGACCACCATGCCCAGCTTTTTAAATCTATATTCGCCTTACTATAATATCATTAGCTGTAAGCTATGAAAGAATAAGGCACATTTTCCTTTCAGATATGAAAACCAATGATGTAACAGTATTTACCTTCTGTAAAAATAAATAATGTACTAAATATTGTCATTGGTTAGTAAAACTTTTAGGAATTTATTTTAATGTTGCGTATGATGCAGGATACGGCAGGACTGTGTACTGTAGAAATGAGCCCACGCTGCATTTAGGAACATCATATGTCCTTCATTGGGAGCAAAAGGGAGTTAACACTGATGAAGGAAGTAGGCTTGTCAGTCTGACAGAGGGAGCTACAGGCTGTTACTTGATTTTCATGGTGTGGGCCAAAGTTTATAATTGTCTACCAGTCTGGCCATGATTTCAAAAGATGTTTTCCTTCTTTTATGCAAACATTCTGGACTTGTCCTTGGTTTGGTGAACTAGCGGGTGGTGACTTCACAGTTGCTCAGTCTTCATGTTGCTGGTGCCTTTTGTCTTAATAAAGGACTTTCAGCTCTGAGTCCTTAATGTAAAAAGGAAATAACCTTATCTTTCTAAAAATATATTTAATAAAACTTTAAAAAGTCCAGAAGTGCTTTTGAGAGGATGCAAAAAATAAGTATGTACACTGAATTACAGTTTAGCCAGGTTTTTTTAATTTGCTGAAAAATATAGATGTAACTACTTTATTTTTTGGTCCTGGGGATCAAACCAAGAGACTTGCACATGCGTAGGTAACAGTTTACCACTGAAGTACATCCGTAAGCCTTGATTTTTTTTGAGACAGTAAGCTCAGGCTGACTTTGAACTATACTGCCTCTTGAGTGCTGGGATTATAGGTATGCACCATGCACTCAGCTAGATACTACATTCTGTTAGAGAAAATGTTCACACTTAATATGATTGGCTATATAATTTTTGAGTGATAGAAATAAATTTGCAAAGGCATAAAATAATCAAGAAAGCATACAAAGAAAAGATAATGGCAGATATATTCATGGATCAGTGTCCATTAAATATGAGTTGGCATGATTTCTATATTAATGCTTATGTTAAAAAGATTAAAAAATTAAATAGATGAAATAAAAACAAGGAGTTTGTGAATGAGATACTGAATCAGCAGTCTGAGATCCAGGTGACAGAAATGTGTAAAACTGCTAAGTATTCTAAATATCATTGCTTGTTAGAACAAATCACTCCTTCAAGAAATTGATTCTCCATTGAGAGTAGGGAAAATACAAGGTAAGTCTGAAATACCAGAAAGTGAGGAAGGTACTCAGTGTCTAGTGAAGGCCTGCCCAAGGAAACAGGGTGATGTGGTTAACATGATACTTTGTCAAAAAGGATTGTGGAGACAGAAGTAGCAATGCCAAACCTAGAAATGTAGAAATAAATTATCCTGACATCTGGTGGCATAGGGTGACAAGTAAAAGGCATGTTGAAGATTGCATCTAAGCAACCATCAAGAGAGAAGTAAGGGATTCAGAGTGGTGAACTAAAGACATTTGAAGGCCTGATTTTTTGTTTTTTGTTTTTTGTGGTACTGTGGTTTGAAATTAGCCTACACCTTGAGCCACCCCACCAGCCCTTTTTTGTGATGGGTTTTATCTAGATAGGATCTATTTGCTCAGGCTGGCTTTGAACCATAATCCTCTTGATCTCTGCCTCCTGAGTAAGGAGGGTTACAGGTGTGAGTCACCAGTGCCCCACTAAGCCTAATATTCTTGAGAAATAAAAAGCATAGGAAATACAGGAATTAATACCAATTGCATTAATTTAGCAAAAAAAGAAAAATAATAGAAACAAATTAAACTTAATACTAAAGATAAAATATGAGATTGACACAGCTAACCAATAATAGGTGACTATACCTTCTTTTTGGATTTACTTGAATGGAATCATACATTTCACTCATGTATTGTGTCGGATCTCTTTTACTCAACATTGTAGTTGTGAGAATTATTGATGCTATTGCATATGCTGATTTATATTTAATGCTGCATAGTATTCTGTTACACAAATGTCATAGTTTATTTAACTACTGGTCTACATTGAGATTGTTTCTAGCTTGGAACTAAAGCTGCAGTGAATATATTGTACACTGTTCAACACATTTATTTGTATTTCTCTGAAGTACGTAATGAGTCTATGCCTCTGGTTTAACTTCACCTACTGCTAATGTGGTTATATCCATTTATACTCCCTCTTGAGCAGTTTTACTTGCTCAGCAGACTCACTGATATTTGGGGGGTTTTTGTTGCTATTAATTTTAGTAGTAAGTAAAATTCTTTTGGGTATGTAGGGAGGTCTGGGTCATTTCATTGAGTTTGTTTTCTTTGTCGATCAACAAAGATCAGAAAATTTCCACATCTGAACCATTTGGATATCCTTTTTGTGAGCTCACTCTCAGATTTCTCTGTTATTTTTTGAGTTGACAACCCTTTTCCTAATTGTTTTGTAGCTCCTTTTATAAATCTTCATATGTTCTTTGTTTGTTATGTATAAAAACAGTATGTCATGCCAGTCTGTAGCTTGTCTTTCTGCTCGACTAATGATGTTCTGTGATAAGTAGAAATCCCAAATTTAATGTGTAGCTAATCAATAGTCTCGCTTTTGGGACTTATTCAAGATTTTTTGGTTTATCCTAGTGTTGTGAAGGTCATAGCCACTGTAGAGACACTAAGAGTGTATCTTGAATATAATTTTACAGAGCCCCCTTTTCTTTTTAAGTTTCTTTTTTTTTGGGGGGGATTGTATTGGGGTTTGAACTCTGGGCCTCACACTTGCTAGGCAGGTGCTTTACCACTTGAGCCACTCCTGCAGCACTTAACTTTCATATTTAGGTATACAGGTTACCTGGATTTTACTTTTTATATAATAGCATAAGAAAGGAAATTTACCTTATGAATCTAGCACTCTCTTTTAAAATTTTTTTGCTGTTATCTTGATCTTTCCAAATCTTTAGTTCCAGAGACTTTTCATTTGAACTTGGCCTTGTGCTTGAGAAGCAGGTACTGTACTACTTGAGCCACACCCCAGCTCTGGCATTTCATTTTTTATAATGACTGCATTACTTTTATTGTATGAATGTAAGTAATTTTTAGGTAGACATTGAGGTTTTTTCTGTTTCATTTTATAACATTGAAGAACCTTCATTTTCATGTATGCTGTTGTGTTTAAGCATACATGGGATAACTTCTTCAGAAGTTTAACCAAATGATAGCTTAATTTTAAGAGTTAATTTCTGAGTTGCCCTGTACAAATGCTCTTTCAACATAAACCTGATCAGCAAAGAGTGAGTGTTTCTGTTCCTTCCCACTATTACAACACAGGGCCCTACCAAACTGATAGTTTCTTATAATTTAAATGGAGTATCTTCTCATAAATTTAAAATCTTAGTTGTGTTTCCAGTTGTTTGTTCCTGTCTTAAGTCCTTGCTTTCTGTCTCCTTTATAAAGTTGTTTTGCATTTTTTCCCTAGTTTGTAGAAACCTGATATGAGGAAAGCTATTACCCTTTATGCATCAAGTTTTTTTCAGGTGTCTTTTCCTCGTTTTTTTCATTTGTATTTTGCCTTTGTGCAGTGTTTTGCTCCTATGGGAATATTTCGATTTTTATATTTTTAAAATTTACCAAGGACTGGAGGTATGGCTCAAGTGGAAGAGCACCTGCTTTCCAAGGGCAAAGCCCTGAGTTCAAACCTCAGTTCCACCAAAAAAAAAGAAAAGTGTATTTTTAATTTATCAAACTTTTTGTGTGTGTATGGTGTTAGGGGTTGAACTCAAGACCTCTCACATGCTAGACAAGCACTCTGCCACTGAATTATGTCAAATTGTTTTGCCTACATTTTGTTTCAGACTTAGAAAAGAATTCTTGCTTCAAGATCAACACACTTCCCCCTAGTTCCTTAATGCATTATTTTTATAATTTGTTTCATTCAGTTTTTAAAAATTTTTTATTTGCATACACTAGCTCTATAAAGGGATTTCATTGTGACATTTCCATATATGCATACAGTGTACCCCAATCAAATTCACTCCTTCTGTCCTCATCCCCCTACCTCCTTCTTAAAACAATTCTAGTAGGTTTCACTGCTCTATTTTCATATATGTATATAAATAACATACCTGGACCACATTCTCTGGTCACACATCCTATCCCTTCACCTTCCCCTCTCTGCCTGTACCCATCCCCAAAACAGAAGCTATTTTACATTCTTGTCATTTATTTTTAAGGACTAGTTTCAGTATATGAGAGAACACGTGATACTCGTCTTTCTTAGTCTGGTTTATTTTGCTCAGCATGCCATTTTCCTGCAAACGGCATGATTTCTTCTTTACGACAGAGTAATAACCCATTATGTATACATACCACGTTTTCTTTATCCCTTCATCCACTGATGGATACATGGGCTGATTCCATATTTTGGCTATTGTGAATAGCACTGCTATAAATGTGGGTGTGCTGGAATCTCGACTATATGTTGACTTGCATTCCTTCATATAAATGCCCATGATTGGTATGGCAGGATCATATGTATTTCTATTTTCAGTTTTCTGAGAAACCTCCATACTGATTCCCATATTGGCTGTACTAATTACATTTCCACTAACAATGTATAAAGAGATCTTTTTCCTCACATCCTTTCCAAAATTTGTTTTCTTGATGGCTGCCATTTTGACTGGGATGAGATGGAATTTCAGTGATGGTCTTTTTTTTTTTTTTTGCGATGGGGGAGAGGGGTCATACTAGAGTTTAAACTCAGGGCCTCATGCTTGCTAGCCATATGCTGTACTACTAGAGCCACTGTACCAGCCTGTGTGTGTGTGTGTGTGTGTGTGTGTGTGTGTGTTGGGTGTTTTCAAGATACAGTCTCAAGAACCAGCCTGTGTGTGTGTG